TTTCACTGGCTATTGTTGACACTTGTTGTTGACTACTTGACTTGCTCAGTCTTGCTGTTGGCTTTGGGCCTTTGGATACTTGGCTAGTTGGCATGTTGAATTGCTGTGATGATTTATAGCTTTTATCAATTAATTGCTATTTATATTTGTATTAGTTATTTATTGTATTTTTAGTCTTGTAGATTGTAAATTTATATTTTGTAATGTATTAGTTATTTATTGTATTTGTAGATTGTAAATTTATAACTGTAATTGTTGAATTAATCATATTTGTTTTGTATTCATTTATTGTTTATTTGTTTCATTGTTTTTTGATTTTTTTTTTTAATTTATGAAATATCTCTGATTTTATTTTTTTATACTTTCGGGTTGGCGGGTCGGGTTGACCCGACCCATGAAAAATTCGGGTCAGGTCCGGGTTCAGCAAATAGACCCGTATAGCTAAACGGGTTGGGTTCAGGTCGACCCGTTTAGCTTCGGGTCAATTCGGGTTCGACCCGAACCCGACCCGACAACTCGAATTGACAGCCCTAATCAGAAGGCCATCGTTTTATGTGACCAAACCATCTAAGGCTATCCTCTCAAATCTTGTCTTTCAGTACTAGAGCTACTCCAACCTTTTCATGTATATGCTCGTTTAATATTCTGCCTCTAAGAGTAAAGCCACTCATCCATTTGAGCATTCTCATTTCTACAACACTTGACTTAAATATTATGCTTCTCTTTTAATGAACAACATTTTGCATCATAAAATAGTATAGGTACTTTACAAGGTTTGAACTTTGTTAAAAAAATGAAATGAAATAAAATAAAATAGTACAGGTCTCACCACCATCTTATAGAATTTTCTCGTAAGTTTGAGAGAGACTTTTCTATCACACGAGAAGCCCAATGCATTATTCCACCAACCATCCAACTTGAATTCTACTAATAATATCCCCGTCTATTTTGTCATCACTCAGAACAATAGACCCAAGATATCTAAAGATATACTCTTGTTAATGACTTGATTCCCAAAGTCACAATCTCGCCCACTAGATTTATTACTAAAATTACACTCAATATATTTGATTTTATATACACTCAAACGATAACTTTTAGACTCTAAGATTTACCTCCACAATTCAAGTTTAACTTCAACTTCATCAATAGTCTTATCAGCAAGAAGAATATCATCACCAAAAAACATACACCAAGCCACTAGGGTGCAACCTCTTGCAAATATCTAGTGAGAACATCCTTGACTAAAACAAAAAGATATGGACTTAAGGTCGATCCTTAATGTAATCAAACTGAAATAGGAAAAGACTTTGTCAAATCATCTTATGTTTGAATACAAGTAATAACTCCTACATACATATCCTTAATGATTTGAATAAAAACATTGTTAACCCCTTTCTTTTCTAGAACTCTCCATATTACTTTTCTTGGAACTTTATTATATGTTTTTTCTAAATCAATAAATATCATATGTAGATCATCCTTATTCTATCTATACTTTTCCATCAAATCTCTCAATAAATATATAGCTTTCATAGTAGACCTACGCGACATGAATATAAATTAATTTTGAGAAACATTAATATCACGTCATAACATATGCTCCATAACCCATCTTACAACTTTTTAGTCTTCAAAATATTATTAAAAAATTTAATAAGCCAATAAACTCTTTCATCTTCAAAACATTTTCATATCTTTATTGGAATATCATGAGATCCAACGTCGTTCTTTAACCAAGGAATTCAAAAGAAACACAATAATAAGAAAGGGTATTTAGAGCAAGAGCGGGATCAAGAAATTCCCATAAATTGAAACCTAGTTTAGAAGCAGAAAGCGAATCTCAAGATTAGAAGAGGATCAAAATCCTAATAACACGCAAATGACCTAAAGAGAAACGTGAAAAGCGACACATTTGTTTTTCTAAGAAAATCTCTATTGGTGAATAACAAGATTACATTGAAGTTGACTGAGTTTTGTCTTCATGTTTTTTTCCGCAGGAGCGGTCGGTGGAGCAGTCAAGCAGGAAGGGAATCGCGTAGAGTGGAGCAGAGAGAATACGAATCGCTGGGGAAGGGAATTACGATAGGAAATAAAAATTAGGGCTTTATCATCGAGCGCAGCAGTCGCGAGAAATAAGCTTTTTTTTTTTTTTTTACCGCTCGCAAACGAAGCGGGTTTCTCTAATTTATTCGAATAATTTTCCCCGTCTATCTGCCTTTGCCTCTCACCAGCATTTCCATTTAAATATTCTTCAATAAAAATTATTTTTTTATTAATTTTTTAAGTTATTTTAACTTTTTTATTTTAAACACATATTCAAATCTACTTTAAAATATAAATATTTATAATATTAATAATCTTAGCATCAACAATAATATTTAAAATTATAATTATATCACAAATTCTATTAATATTTACGATATTATCTTAATTTTAGTTTTACGAAATAGCTTCTTTCTATGGTATGAAAATCCTTGCCTATTAAACGTTACACTCGGATGTCTGTGCAGAACACTTACATACTTTTCATTGTATTTAAGCTATATAACACGTCGCTTCTAGGAAACGCCCTAATATTGATCTTAAGGGAGCCATGTCATGAGTGCTTTTTGACTAAGAAAAATATTATATTCATAAAAAAATACATTTTTTTTCATAATCAGATATTAAAATATACCAATTAAATTTACTTTTAAATAATCTGAAAATTTAATAATTCAAATTATAAAATTTAAATTAACCATATTTATGTATTTTCCTTAAAACATAATTGAACACATATATATAATCAAAATTGATATGTCATCAAAACATTATCTTGATCGGGCACGAATCTCAATGCAAAATCAAGGTGGAAACTTTCAAAATTAAAATTGGAATAATATGAACTCTAATTTCAGCAAACTTACAGTCAAACTGAACGTCTCAGAAATACGAACCCAACGACACCAACTTCGACTCAATCCAAGCCCAAATGGGTCCAAATCAAGACTCAAAACGCTGTTGTAAGGTTTAAAACACAAATTGGATTACCAAACAGAATTTCAAACATAAGGTGCTTATGGTCAAATTGAGCGGCTCGACGAGACGAATCCAATGAGCCTAGGATCACTGAATTTTAACATCACTAAGGCATAAAAATGTCCCTCAAATGGTACATGATCAAGGGATTTAATATCGGCCGTCCATCCAATCACTCTCAATTTACCCTTGATCTATCACCTATTTACATGTCATGCCACTTCATAAATATATAAATAGACCCTCATTCCTCTTGAAAAGAGGGACGGAAGCAAGAGGAGAAGAAGGAAGAAGCTCATCCTCAACCACTGTCGGAGTTTCGCCGGACCACCGACGGAGTTTCGCCGGACCATCACTAGAGTTTCGTCGGACCACCGCCAGAGTTTAGCCGGACCACCACCCGAGGCCCTCACCTACGCCGGACCACCACTTGACGTCGTTGCTCCGCCGGACCACCAGTTGAGGCCCTCACCTCCGCCGGACCACCGCTTAACGTCGTTGCTCTGTCAGACCACCACTTGAGGCCTTAATCCTCTACCAGATCAACGTCTGACGTCGTTGCTCCGCCAGACAACCACCTAAGGTCCTGAGCTCCGCCGGACCACCACTTAAGGCTTTAAGCTCAGTCGGACCATCACATGAACCCAAAATTCTCCCGGACCAACACCTAAAGCTCGAACCTCTGCCGGACCACCACATAACGCCCGAAGTTCTACCGAACCACCACATAATACTCAGAGTTCTAACGAGCCACCACCTAATGCTCAGAGTTCTGCTAGACTGACGTGAGGCCCGAACTTCTAATAGACCACCACATGAGGTCCAAACTTCTGCCAAGCCACCACTTGAGGCCCAGACTTCTACTAGGCCACCACCTGATGCCCAGAGTTTTACTGGAGTACCGCATTATAATTACGATCTTTCAGACCCCTTATTGCCAATTACGATCTTTTGGACCCTTGTCTCATGCCGACTACCTCAAACCTCCATCGCCTACTATGGTCATTTCGATCTCCATCACCTTACAACGGTCTTTCTGATCCCGATCTCCTGCCAACTACGATCTTTCGGACCTCTGTCTTCTACCGACTATGATCCTTCCGACCTCCATCACCAGGTAACAGTCTTTCTGACCTCTATCCTATCGACTATGGTTGTGCCGACTAAATAAACATCTCTATATTGTAACTCCAACAATGTAATGTGCTCTATATGATGTATATTTGTACCATCAAGCCAAGGCCTTCTCTCAAGGAAGGGCCTCATTTGTAATTGACTGCAAACACTAGTGGATTCATTTAAACTGGGCCAGACCTCGTTATTTTTTTCCCCATTTTCAAGGGTTTACATGTAAAAACTCAGGTGCCTCTAATGAACGCTACACCCTCTCTCTTATCCGATTGTGTGCTGGATCTTCGTACAACGTTAAGATGTTAAACTATATATTTCTCTACCGCCGCAAATACCCCAGGACGCAACAAAAATATTTATAGAAGAATAAGCAGTTAGCCGTGGGACTAATTTCTTTTGTGATGATTAAAAAGATAGAATTATGACATGGATAATTTAAAGATTAAAATATGTTTAAAAATTTAAATAAATATATTTATTAAAGATGAGTAAGATAATTAAAATATTTATTATACTTAAACAATTTAAAACTGATAATTATCTACCGTGAACTTTTTTCAAATCCGCCATATAATAATTCAATGGGACCAATGAAATAATTATCGACTAATAATTAAATAGAAATTCTTTTCTAAACCATTAATTAAAATCACATAATTTACATTTTATTAATCAATATTAACAAAATAACAAAACCTAAAACTAGTCAAAATGTTCGGAACATAAACGACAGAGAAAAGTAATGAGCCTGCAATTAAATATATAGAAATTATATTTTAGTTATTTAATATTTTAATATTATAATTAGGCCAGCTTTTTATTTATTTATTTTTTTCTATTCTACCTCTCTCTCGTCATCGCTGACGGCTGGTCGATACCTCCTCCTCCTGCTGATTCCTCCGAGAGCGAGTATAAAATCGCAGGCTTACGGCCATAAATGTGAGGAACACCGCAGAACCCGCAAAATCTGGGGCTGGGGTTTCTGGCCGTTTACAGGTATAACTTTTTCTAGCTGGATTTCGTTGATTTATTCAGCTAATATTTCCTCGAGTTCTGATGGAAAGAAGGATTTCCACAAGAAAATCGGCAAGACCTGAATAGATTGAGAAAGACTTTCCTTTCGTTCTTCAGCTTCGTAAATGATTTTTTTTTGTTTTTTACTTTGAGTTTTGGTTTATTACAGCACGTGTGTATGGAATTAAGCGGCTGTTGTTTGCCGAGCATTGTCTGAGAATTTCAAGGAGAAAAAAAGAAAAAAAATCAAGGATAAACCCTCTGAGGAAAAATACCTTTTTTTTTTCTTATCGATCATAATATAATTGTAATCATGTTTTCTGATCCGAACCTGTTTAAAGTATATTCTGCTTATGCTTTCCTGCAGTGCTTGATTACCAAAGTTGAACGTCTTTTTTTTTTTGTTTTTTTGTTCTTTTTTGGTTTTGCAGGGAAATGAACTGCTAGAAAGAACAAGATATTCTCTGAACTCAGCAGAGATGGCTTTTGAACCCTTGGTTTGGTATTGCCGGCCGGTTGAGAACGGGAAATGGGCGAAGTTTGTCGAGAATGCATTCGGAGCTTACACACCTTGCGGCATCATGACCATTGTGCTTGACATCTCCTATCTAGTTCTATTCGGCTGTTGCTTTTACAGAATATGGAGGACAACGAAAGATTATTCTGTTCAAAGATACCGCCTGAGGTTTCCGTACTTCAATTACTTCTTAGGGGTTTTGGCTTTGTATTGCACTGTAGAGCCATTGGTTAGGCTGTTCATGGGTTTATCGATTGCAAACTTGGATGGGCAGACTAGTCTTGCTCCCTTTGAGGTTAGTATGATTACTTTTCTCCAATCATACTCAATGGTCATCATACTTTCTATGGATATCTTAAAGTTTGGGTATGTTACCAGTGCAGCAGAGGGTAATATGCTTCAATAGGCAAATGCTACAGCAGTTTTATTTTAAATTTATGATGGTTTACATTTGGGCTTCGTTTGGGACGGCTTTTTTAATGCTTCTTAAAACAGCTTTGTAGTGCAAAGGTTGAAATTTTTGTCCTTCAAAGCTGCTTTAAGAAGCAGCAAAAAAGCTGTCCCAAACGAAGCCTTTGTTTATCTGCAGGCCATTTTGTTTCATTCTCAACTGGTTTTTGATATGTCAACTAAACTGAGCGCATAAGTGCTCCTTGCCATGAAATATTGTCTTGTTATTGCCTGCTGGAAGTTCAATCCTTGTGTTAGTCATCAAGTGCCAAGAATAGCACTTCAATGTGCTAATCTAATGGTTTGACACTTGCCGGAAAGTTGATTTTAAATCCACTCAGTCATTTCATCTTCGTTTGTCAGGTGGTCTCACTGATTGTTGAAGCAGTTGCTTGGTTCTGCATGCTCACCATGACTGCTTTGGAAACTAAAATTTACATCCATGAATTCCGGTGGTATGTGCGGTTTGTAGTCATATATGTACTTGTTGGCGATGTAGCTGCTTTTGATGCTTTCCTATCACTAAAGAAGTACTATGACAAGTAAGTCATCACATGCTGTTACTTTAAGTGTTACTTCGATATTTCCTTATGGAAAATGTCCATGATTTTTGGTGACAAGTTGTTGGTAATTGAGGATGCAACTTCTATGCTTACTCTCCTTCTAAGATGTTGTCATGTTGAATACACCAGATGGAAGCTAGAGAACAATTGAATGGGATGGACATTTATTTCTTTTTTTTGCTTAAGTTTGGGATTATTGTTCTTTTGTTTTTAATGGCATCCCCACATGCCCTCCCCTAAAAAAATAGAACTCCAACTACATTTATCACGTTCTTGTTTGCGCCAAGAATTTGAAAATTCCTTGTGATGTGCAAAAATTTGTTGTTTGCTTTGAAAATTTGCAAATTCTATGTGATTTGCAGGAGCTTATTGGCCTTTAAACAACTTTTGGAATTTGACCCCCTTTTGCTATTTATGTTTGAAATGTGTTGGATCACTTATGTGCTCGGAATTCTTTTTTTCTGAACCAGATAAATTCCGTAAGCTAATATTTTGATCTTAAAGATCCTTACATGCTTTTTGTTGGATATTTATTGGATCCAGTTTCCTCGCTGCATTTAGTGACTTTTGTAACTGAGAAAATTGATTTTTGTTTTGTTTTCCATTCTCATTATTATCAACCAAGCTGTTTCATCTCTCACTCAAAAAATTTTATTTTGCAGATTGGCACTTAACATATTTACCAGTGGTGTAATTTGTCAGGTCTGTCTTTGCATCTTTGTCATCTGACATGCATTTGCAACTGAGTTTAGCTCATATATTTTCATTATGTTGTGGTGGTCTGGATTTTGTAGGGGTCATCTTTTCTTATTGCTTTATGTTTCGAGCATACAATAACTTTTTTTCATATTTTTATTTATGTAGCTTTTGTTTGGCATCCTGCTCGTGTTTTATATTCCAACTTTGGATCCTTATCCGGGATACACTCCTCTTAGAGGTGATGTTCATGTGGACAACACAGAGTATGAATTGCTTCCTGGAGGAGAGCAGATATGCCCTGAGAGGCATGTAAACATATTTTCTAGTGAGTGTATTGGAGAATGGTGAAATTCTTCTCTCATTTTTCATAAAACATGTAACAGAACCCTTGGCTTGGGTAAAGATATTGGAATATGTAAAATCCATGTTAGAATTAACACTCATTGGCTTTTTATTTTTATTTTCCTTCTCTGCAGAAATATTTTTTTCATGGATTACTCCACTCATGCAACTTGGCTTCAAAAGACCTATCACTGAGAAGGATGTTTGGAAATTAGACTCATGGGATGAGACAGAGACATTAAATAGCAGGTGCTTTTATTAGAAAAAATAAAATTTCTTGCCACATTGTCACTCGTGAGAATATTTTGTAATATTGACAATAATATATTGTTCTCAGATTCCAGAAATTTTGGCTTGAGGAATCTCGAAGATCAAAACCTTGGCTATTGAGGGCACTGCATCGCAGCCTTGGGGGAAGGTATGAGTAGCTAATGTAATGCTTTTATTTTTCTATATCCCATGTTCTTAACCCTTGCCACTGTTTTATCCTCAGGTTTTGGTTGGGAGGCGTTTTCAAGGTATGGATTTTTGTAGAATGCTTTTATCTGAAAACTTTATTTGTTTTCTTCCTCCAGCATGTTTAAGAACTGCTCATTTTGCATTGTTGAAATTTGTTTAGAGGCAGTATTTGCAATGATTGCTCTTCCATGATTAAATTTTGCCACAAGAAAATTGCTTATTATTATTTTTGTTTGGAGATTGAGGAATGGCCTAATGTAGGGGTGTAAAGTGTAAACAACTTAAGCTGACTTTGAGCCACCCCTAACTTGAGCTTGAACTCGATTAATTAATTGAGTTTGAGCTCAAGCTGGGGCTCAATTCTACCAATTTGAGTCAGCTTATCAGAAGGCTCATTTATTATGAAAGAAATAAAAAGATTTTAATTTAAGCAATTGTTGTGATACAACAACAACAACGAGCCTTTATCCCACTACGTGGGGTCGACCGGGGCGTCTCCGCGATCCCTTTCTTTTTTGTGTCGTTGAGGAGAGTTTTAATAAGTTTAAGTTCCGAGGTAAAATTTTAGAAGACAGATTGGGTTTTAGATAAAACATTACCCAGAGATTTCACCCTCATTTTGTGAGAACTTTATGATATGAGTACAAGTTTCCTATAGTCGTAAACCTCTTTAGTTAATTACTCCTCCCGATGACGAGAGAAAACTTTTGATTAAGGCTAGTTGTTGAACATATACATAGTTTCCAGCGTATACTAGCAACAAAATTACATATTGAAAATTAAAATTTTATCACCGCACACTTAAAGCGGTGGTGGGGGAATGATGATGAACCAGATTAAGATCCCATGGTTTTATCGGCCTGGGTCATCTTGATCTCGAGTTTAATTAGTCAAAGGAGGTAGTCGACCCAACTTGACCAAAGGATCCTTGTCGGTAGAGATGGGTTGCTTTATCCATAGGTACCTTGTAGACTTGGGGTGAATGCTTGTCTAAAGGGACATATTTGAGTCCACCTTAGCTAACAAAGGGCTTTGTGTCATATCAATTATATCCTATTAATTCATTACTCAAGGGTTTAATGCCATTGGGAAACATACATGCTCTGACTATGACCGTAATTTAGTGGTATCATTTGGCGGTAAAACCATACGGTCAGAGGATTCGGTCATAATCGTTTACTAGTGGTGACATTTGGCTGCAAAATCACCGGTTAGAGTACACGTGCTACGTCCTTACTCACAAGGGATGATTTGAGAATGAATCTTAGTGATATTATCGACTAGACATTCGCTCTTTGTGAGCTGAAGTGATTTTTCAAATTTATCCATCTCGTTAAACTGTTGCAGAGGGTGGATGAATTTTTGCTTTATGTGTTTAAGTGATTTATTTCATTTTGAATATCTTGAATTTTTAAAGAGAAATATATTTTAAAATTTTATTTAAATTTGAGCATCAAACAATTAACTTGAGATTTGGGGGCATTTCTTTGAAATTTGCATGGATCTCCCTAGTTGAGATTTGCATTCAACACAACCATCATCAGGGGTTATGAGCAACTTCATTTCATTAATCGAACCTTGTCGACTTTGTTTGCTTGCCAACATAGGATTGAGTTCAACTCCTAATTTTAAGAGTTATCATATATATATATTAGAATTTAGAGCATGTATTTGATGTGTGAATTTTCTTTATAAAAGACTTTGAAGGCTTAATATGAACGTATAAAATTCAAATATTCTGATTTATTTACGATCCCGAGAGTTTATGTTTTTAATAGTGAACACTTCTTGTAATAAACCTTAAAGGCCTAATATAAACATATAAAACAAAATACTCTGGTCAGCATTACGCAAGTCGTGTCAACTCCAGTCCATTAAAAATGAGAATCAGACTTGAACATAAGTTCACTTTTGACCCGCGCAACATCTTCAGACATCACGTGTACGTGTCACGCTCGTAGGGGATCATGTAAATATCATGCTTTTCAATATATTTTGTATATGACACATTTGATGTATATGACGTATCTGTATATTTGCGTGCTTTATGATTTGAACAATGCATTTACATAGTGTGAGTGACGTATATATATGATTTGCATTATGCACTTATTTGACTGTTGTATGATTGACATAATGCATTTGCATGACTAACATAATGCACATAGAGAATTGATATAACACATATGCATAAATGACACAGTGTATTTGCATACATGTTTGTGATAGGAAATACTTGATATACTTGAAATCAAGTATTTCCTAGCCCAAATCAGTAGAAAACACTCAAAACAGGAACCAAATTGCTGTTTACAGCAGGAAAACAGCAGCCAACAGAGGAAAAACATGGAAAACAAAGAGAAAACTTGAGAGAAATCACACCAAAATACTTTATATTAATGGTAGATGCAAGAAAAACAATAAAGATATAAGAGATCCTCTATTCGAGAGGAGGATCACACTCTCTCAATCTCTAGAGAACAATCTAGAGCCTTAGCCATAAGAGAAACCCAAGAGAACTTTCCAGAAAATTTCACATAACCCTAACCCTATCTTTTCCCCCTTAATGCATGAAATTCAAAATTAATACAAAAGGACCTAATTGCCCTTGTCGCCCCCCCTTTTGGCTCCAAGATTGAATTTGAATATCAAGTGGACCCCACCCCCTCCTCTCTCCTAGCTTTCGCCGGCCCCCTCCTGCTGTAAACAAAACGAACTGGCCCAAGGAACTGGGCCGACTGGACCGGTCCATAGAGGACCGGTCTAACATTACCGCCCTCCCAAAAAATCACCTTATCCTCAAGGTGGAAGTCAGGAAACTGTCGTTTCATCCGCTCGTATGGCTCCCACGTGGCCTCGTATTCAGGTAGGTTCTTCCATTTGGTCAGGACTTCTGTAGCTCCATATGCTTTCTGACGAACCTCTATAAGCTCCAAAGGTTCCAATATCATTTCCATCTCATCAGTTAATGTCCCTGGTAACTCCGAACTGGTAGCATAATCTCCAATGACTCTCCTCAGCTGGGATACATGGAAAACGTGGTGGATCATCGCCGTAGGTGGTAGCTTCAAACGATATGCCACGACTCCAATTTTCTCTAACACTTCATAAGGACCGAAGTACCTTGGAGCAAGCTTCTCATTCCTCCGGTTGGCGACCATTTTCTGTCGATATGGACGGAGTTTCAAAAACACCCTCTCACCCACTTCAAACTGAATATCCTTCCGATGCCCATCAGCTTGTTTCTTCATAATCTGTTGAGCTCTCAACATGTCTTTTTTAACTCTTCAAGTATCTTATCCCTCTCCTCCAAGTACTCATCTACTGAAGAAACTGGAGTACTGCTACTCCCAAAATGCACCAAGTGGGGCGGATCCCTTCCGTACAACACCTTGAACGGGGTCATATGAGAAGCTAAATGAAAAGAGGTATTGTACCAATACTCGGCCCATGGTAGCCATTTAGCTCAAAGCTTGGGTGTCTCTGATGCAAAGTATCTCACATAAGTCTCCAAGCTCCGGTTCACTACTTCTGTTTGACCATCCGTCTGTGGGTAGTAAGCAGTACTCTTTTTCAGCACAGTTCCCTGCAGTCTGAACAATTCTTTCCAGAAATGGCTGAGGAACACTTTATCCTTGTCTGATACTATCGCTTCTGGCACCCCGTGTAATCTGACTATCTCCCTGATGAATGCTGACGCTACTGTCACCGCAGTGTATGGATGGCTAGAGGAATGAAGTGAGTTATTTGCTCAATCTATCCACCACCACCAAAATCAAAGTGAGTCCTTCAGAGCGGGGTAGCCCATCAATGAAGTCCATATATATCTCCTCCCAGACTCGGCCTGGTAAAGCCAATGGCTGCATTAACCCCCCTGGTGACATAGCTAGATACTTATTCCTTTGGCAAACCTCGCACCTGGATACCATCTCTTCCACATCCTTATACATACCTTTCCAGTACAGCTCTGCTGCCAGTCTCCTGTAGGTCTTTAGCACTCCTGTATGACCTCCCACTGCGGTCTCATGGAACTCCTGGAACAAATGTGGAATGTGAATTGATGTTCTGGGCAACACAAACCTCCCATGATACAACAATCTCTCCCCCTCCAATGAGTACCTTGGATGGCCGCCCTCTTCTTTTAGTAAGGTAGCCCTCATCTTGCCTAGTTCCTCGTCCCTGACACTCTCCTCCTTTATGACTTCCCAATCTAGCATCATTGGGACTGATACAGTCATTGTCTACAGCTCCCCCATGCACCTGGACAAGGCATATGTTGCCTTATTTTCTACCCCTGGCCTGTACTGAATCTCAAAATCATATCCCAGTAGTTTGGATAGCCACTTTTGATGCTCCTCTGTCACCATGCGTTGTTCCAACAAATATTTCAGGCACCTTTGGTCGGTCCCGACGATGAAATGCCTTCCGAGTAAGTAGGGGCGCCCTTTTGGATGGCCAAAACAATTGCCATTAATTTCCTCTCATAGACAGCTTTCAACCGGACTCTGGTAGTTAACACCTGACTGAAATAGGCAATGGGCCCGTGACTCTGCATCAACACTGCTCCTAATCCATACCCCGATGCATCTGTCTCTACGATGAAGGCCTGAGTAAAATCCAACAAAGCTAAGATCAGGACTGTGGTCATAGCTTTCTTCAACTTCTCGAATGCTGTCGTGGCTGCATCCCCCCATAGGAACCCATCTTTCTTCAATTGCTCAGTGAGTGGTCATGCTATAGTACTGTATCCCTCCACAAATCTTCTGTAGTACCTTGTAAGCCCTAGGAATCCCCTCAACTCCTTTAGATTTTTAAGCAGTGGCCACTTTAACATGGCTTCAATCTTGGATTGATTTGCTGCTACCGCTTCCTTGGATACCACATGCCCCAAGTACTATACATTGGCTTGTGCGAAGCAGCACTTCTTCAAGTTAGCCCTTAACTGGTGCTCCTGGAGAACCTCTAACACCTTCTTCAAATGCCCCCAATGCTCCTCTGTTCTGCTGTACATTAAGATGTCATAAAAGAATACCAAAACAAATCGCCTGAGATACTGTTT